GATAGAGCAGCAAAGGCGCGGCGAAGGAGAAGTTACCCGGTTTTTCGACCTCCTGGATGAGGTTGTGGAGAGGCATCGGCTGGCGAAGGTTTTGGAGGACGAACCTGCGGGCAGGGAAACACTTGGGGAGGAGGTTATTAGACTTGTTGTTCCGGCGTTGCAGCGTTTCACGCAGAGGCAGAAGGACAAGGATTTTAGTAAGAGTGAGTGGTCTTGATTTTGAGTGTGCACGTTCAACTTCTGATCACGTGATTACTTTACTTTCTCAGACCCACAGAAATGTAGGGTTGTTTAGCTTCTCCCGTCTGCTTGGCCCTGACACTCTGTTCTTTCTTTCAGATATCAAGAGATCAGCAGAAGAAGTTGAACAACAGCTTTACGCCCTGTTCCACTGATTCTGTAGTCATTTTATCTGCTCACTGGTTGCGCCGTCTTCATATCCATTTTCCCCGAGATTCCCAGTGTTATATCCGTGTATGCTCCGTTCTGTCCGTTTGCGAACCAAGTTTTTTAAAAGGTTTATTCATTTCAAACGTGTGGATTGTTAAAAGACTTGGAACCGTTTATTGGCTGCTCAGTCCTTCTGTCCCCTCTCATGAATCCCGGTCATTTCTGCTTGTAACTTAGCTGGCTCATGTGTTATAGGTCGAGAGGCACTAACACGCTTGTTCACAAAATGCTCCCAAGTTCACTTCCAGTGAGATTTTGCGCCTGATCGTCCCGATGCAAAACCGTTTACTTATTTCGAGTTTTCAGTTCTGAGAATGCAGACGCCAAATTACGACCAAATGGTTCGAACCCATGTCGATCCTTGATATTCCTCGAATGGCGTGGGCGTCGAGCTTTATGCCGCCTATCTTCACGAGAACCTTGAACGTGGAAATTAGCGATGATAATAAGACTCTTCATCTGGGCAATCAGTCTCCCAACTTTCTTTTGATTCCAACACCTGTCAGATGTTGCGAAAGTCTCTCAACCCATCAATCGCAGGGACTTCCAGGTCATCTATCTACTCATCCCGCTGTCTTCCAAGTAATTCGTCGCAAAAGGATCATCCGCCCATACAGTCGCCTGCTTTTGGGCAGGCACCAAGCCGTATATTCCAACAGGTTGTATTGAAACCGCAACCCAAGCTCCGGGCGTCGCCTAAAAGGTGAATTCCTGGGAAATCACAAAATATTCCCATCTGACCTTCCTCCGCTTAGAACGTATGGTTCGTCTTAGACTAAGTTGGCATAGAGCTTGACATTTTAATTCTTGAGAACGCGAGGATATCGCTCGGCGCATGGACTTTCACCGCCTATACTTTTGCATCTGTCAAAGCGCAGGGGTTCATGCAAAGCGGGTTATAAGCAGCATATTCTTTGCACTGCGTATCTGTGCGGTTAGTGCTTATCTTCATATTAGTCTCCTGGCTTTGACTCTTGTTGTTCGAAAGCGCATTCCTTCCCACTACAGTATGCACATCTTTTGAACAATATGGAAAGTCTTCGCCTACGGAGCTTTGAAAGCTGGAATGGCGCCCTCCAAACTCGTCGACAACAAACTTTAAAACCAACATTCAGTACAGCGCTGAACGATTCTAAAAATAAGATTGTGAATATGACCATGGAAGAGTGTTTCCCGGTTCGTATCTTTCGATTCAGAGGCTGTCCAAAGATAAGGACCCAGGGCACGGGTTACACCAAATACCAACCTTGGAGGCAAATTTCACATTGTGAAGAAGGCAGTTGCCCCATGACGCGAGAGTGGACTTGACGCGGACTATGAGACTGACACGCTTTACCAATTTGAGTATTGTATAAAAACCTCATAAATGAGTTTATTTAATTCCAGCCATGAGCGAGGCCCCAACTATCCCCTGGCAACTTTGCCTACGTCAAGTCGGAATCGCTCATCCCGCGATGTATCGACATTACCTCGCCTTCGCACCACGAACTCTGTTTGACAAAAGTGGCAGAACATTTCCGTATGACTTATCTCGTTGAACATAGATAGCGCAGAGCGCTGGACACATCCAAAAATGGGGACAGGGGGCAGAATATCTCCGCGTAATCTCACTCTGCGCTGACCGCTGAACACTCGCAAAAATGAAGACAAGTCACGGGTAATCAGTGGTTTACGATCATGGGCGGTGTTTCTCGTTTGGTATTTTAAAAAATTCCAAACAGTGTTTAGCGAATCAAAACAATGAAAAACAAAGGACTTGTATAAAATCATGATTCCTGGCCCTTGGTATTCTCAAGCTCCCTTGTCTACATCTCAATATGCCAGCCTACGCAAACAAACCAGCCTTACGCACTATTGACCTCTCCCCACATGGTGGACCTACTGACGCGAAAGTCGTGGTCATCCCTCTTCCCGCGAAAACCATCGGCATCATTTTCGGGGTATGTGGTCCTATTTCCTGGCTGATGTATCATCGATCTCATGACAGGGGTATTCAGCAACGCACTGCAGAATGGGTTCAGCGTTACAATACTTATGTCCTCGACACCAATTACTTTGTCAAGGATCCCCAAGCCCTTTGGCTTGCCCCCAGTGATAACAGCCGTTTCGACATCGCGGAGATCAAGCCACCTGATTTTGTTGATAAGGACCCTGCTGTCCTTAGCATCGGCCCATTCAATGACGACAACTATATCGCCGTTTACACTTCTCACCAGAAGCCTGGAGAGAAGAATTTCGCGCCTAGCGATCCACACCACAGCTCCGTATGTCCTGCAGTGATGATGATTTCTTGCCGGAAACCTAATACGTTGTTGCCAATTCCAGTATGACTTCACCATTGGTGGGAAGAACGCCATCAGCTTCACTCTGGTAAGTAATCCGCGTTTCAGTGGTCTCTGAAAACTTGCAAGGCGAATTAATGCCTTGAAAGGTGAACGCCGAGGACGGCGGTGATTCCGACTATCATGACACTGTTGTTGGTGTGGCTGTCAACTAGTAAGATGAAATTTTCAAAAGTTTTATTTTCATGCTGACATATTTGCAAAGCACGTACAAGTAAGCGTTGTGGACTCCTGTTTCCGAATGTCTATGATGGCGGCTGTTGAAGAACTATGTACTTGTGTCTGTATATGAATGTGATTCTTGATTCTAGTAACTTTTGACCGTTTCAATGGATCTTGCCTGCGTCAGAGTCCTCACCCCAGAAGAACACTCTACAAAATCCTAAGAACTCAGCGCTCAGCCTTGACTTTGCCTTGACTCCAACTTGACTCAGCCTCCGATTTGAAAATTGAAACATGTCATGATAGAAGGATCGGCCCGCTCACTGTGTACAAGCTCGGCGACGACAAGATTCGTGGTCAAGCCGAGAAGGTTTCGCAACAGAAACCATGGGCCCTCACAAGGATTTGGTGCAGACTTTGCGCAGGGTATTTACAATGATTTGTTTTGATGTTTGCCGATGTTTATTATGGCTTTGTCACTGTCAACCATGGCAACCTCTCCTGAATGCACTCCTGCAAGCGAAATACGACACATGCTTCAACGCCTGGTTCGAAGGTTATCTTGAGCCCGCAGTGGCAGTCTCATCGTCAGAGCGCTCAGCGTACTCGCAACAAAGGGCTGATGAGTTTGGACGAACTGCGGGAAGGTTTGGGAACAATATATCGCCGTGTGTCCAGGTACGTGGTCCAAGTGCGTCACCGCATATGTGTTCACGGTGACGACGAGGAAGTAGAAAGCTGTGATGGAGAAGGGGTTGGGGGAGCTCTTACGACAAGCACGCGAAGAAAACCCTTTGCGGGAGCCCGCTGTCGTACAGTCCTCTAGAAGGACGTCGTGATATAGCTCTGAAATGGACACACGGAGATGCTGCCGACGCCGAGATGCGTCTGTGACTTGAATGACACTGGATATGTGCCGTCTTAGGTGTGCCCCATTTGCTGGATCGTAGTAAATTGTAAAGCGCAACCACTGACGACGTTATAGGTTTTCAAAATGTAACCTACAGAACAAAGATAATTCACACTCCAACTTGCAATTATGCATAGCGCTATATATTGTCCCTGATTACAAACCCTCAAACAACCAACTTCACCCAGTCAAAGTTAGGTTTGCAAGCAATTGCCTCGAGTCCGCCGAGCTTGAAAATTTGAGGGTGTACAGTCGCATCACCGCAGCTCTCAGGGTTGTCTCGCCTCCGAGATTTTCCCTCTTCGCTTTGGAATGCTCAACCCATCATCGGTGAGTATTATTTCCCAGCAACGCCTTCCGCAGCCAAAGGCGGCGATAAACCTCAACATGACACATGAACGTTCACTGAAAGGGTTGAGTTGTTTCCGGTGAAGGTGCCTATTTTTATTCTCTTTCTCGTCGCATCACTAAACTCGCAGTAGAAGACTTTTTGCAACGGTCTCCGCACGCCGTGTCTCCATGGTTTTCTGGATCTGAGCTATGTCGTTTGCGCAGTCGAATGGCACCCAAGATGCGAAGGATTTTATTGGACCAAACTGAGGCTATCAACTAGAATTTGTATAAAAGGGACGTCCGACTGCCCACCTCCCTCCAACGACTTCATTCTCAAGCTCTCATTCAAGAAATGGCAATCTCTCGTTTCTACACACTCATCGCTTTCGCTCTTTGCGCTGCGCAACTCGCTAATGCAGGCATCATCCCTCGCGATGTTGCCGACGGACCCGTCAATGCTACAACCCCCTACTCTCCGGATAACGTC